GAGAGAGAGAGAGAGAGAGAGAGAGAGAGAGAGAGAGAGAGAAAGAGAGAAGGGAGGGAGAGAGAAAACATTTATGTTCTACCCAGATTTTCATGCCACCAGATAGGGCAAGCATTAAAGGATGGTGGCCCCAACTATCTCTTTGTAGGCTGCTCAGAAGACCCACAATCCTGGGGGCCTTCCTGGGCAGACCCCTTGGTGTCCTGGCCAGAACTATGTCCGTCTCGGGCGTCAGCAGCACCCCACAGCTGCCCCGGGATGCACGGCTGGGCCGTATTTATCTGTGTTTACAAGCCCAGTTGACCCTCCTCTTTTCCCAGAGGAAGAACCCTCCACCCCCACGTGCCCCTCAGCAGACCCCGCTCCCAGTAGGTAACGGGCTGCCTGCCTTGCAGCTCCCTGGGGCACCTCGTTCCAGTGTTTAGGGCTCAGATTTGGCAGGAACCCCTCCCTGTTCAGCTCAGCACACGACAGCCTCAGTTCTCTCTTATGCACCCCCTCTTGGTTTCAGTCAGACCTTGTGGGGGACCCCTCCACTTCCTGCCCATGTTCTCAGCCCCCTTCATCCCTCAACACTTCACTGTTGAGCTTCTTGCCACGAACAAGCACGCGCCACGGCCACTATCTTCTCATCCCCGCGTGGTCACTGAGGGCCTGATGGCTCGGGGGACCACAGTGTGTTGATAGACGCCCATGTTGTCTCTACGCTTAAGCTGTTGTGAATGATACTGTGAACATGGGCAAGAAAATTCTGTTCAAGACCCTGCATTCAACTTGGGGTATAAATCCAGAAGTGGGGCTGCTGGAGCACACGGTGATTCGAGGCTTTATTTTTGAGGAACTGCCACCCTGTTTCCCACAGCGGCTGCACCGTCTGACGGTCCCACAGCAGGGCACAAGGGTCCCAAAGTCCCCACATGCTCCCCGATACCGTTATTTTCTGGAGGCTTTTGTCCTGATGGGCGAGGTGGCATCTCACTGGGGATTGGATTTGCATTTCCCTGGTCAGTGATGTTGGGCAGCTTTTCACGGGCCTGTGGACCCTCCGTGTGTCTTTGGAGAAACGTCGTTATTCAAGTCCTTTGCCCATTTTGAATCGGCTTCTTGTTGAATCTCCGTCCCCTACACATCCTGGGCACTGACCCCTCTCAGATATGATTTGCAAACACTTTCTCCCATCCTGTGGATTGCCTTTTCTCTCTGTTGATTATTTACATTCTTTCATGAGAATTTCTTGGGCACCTTTCTGTGCCAGGCCCTTTGGGCTGACTTGTCTGTGGCTATGGGCCACCAATAAGTCACTGAGCACAGCCCCTTGTGCCTGACAAGAAGGCGCGAAACCGCGTCCACCTCGCTGGGACCAGGGCCAGTCCTGTGCGCCCAAACCCACGGCCAGAGGGAGCATAGAGTCGGCGGTCCTCCTGGGTCTAGACCTGCCAGAGATGGGGAAACAGCAACAAAACCAAAAACCATCGAGTCGGCGCCCTCCGGCGTATAGAGCTGCCGCGGCGCGGCGCGCACCGGAAGAGGCGGCCCGTGGCCCGGAAGTGGGTCAGAGCCGCCCGAGGCGCCGCGGGGAGATGAAGCCGGCGGTGGACGAGATGTTCCCCGAGGGCGCCGGGCCCTACGTGGACCTGGACGAGGTGAGGCTGGAGGCCGGGGCCGTGGGGGGAGAAGGCTGCGGCCCGCGTGGGCCCCGCGTCCCGGCCCGCGCGCGGCCTCCTCCCCGACGATCCTTCACCTAAACCTCACTCGGACCCCGAGGACCCGGTGGCGGGGAAGGACGGCGAGTGTGCGGGGCCGGCGGCGCGGGGGGCGCGTGCCCTCCGGAGACCGCGGGGGCGGCGGGGCCCGCGCGCTGGGTGACGGCCGGTCGGCTGGGCGCTGGGCTGCGGCGCCCGGAGGCGTTGGTGCTTCCCGGCGGGCGTCGCGCCGTCGCCTCCGGGGCGAGGCTGGAGCTCGGGGAGCCCGGGGGCCGCGGAGGGGCGTTTGGCGTTCGCGGGCTTTGCACGTTTGCGTGACGCCTGGCGCAGCGGCCCGGTCTCTCCCGCGGCTGCAGGGGTGTGAAGCGGCCTTGCGTTTTGTCTCCCCCGTCGTGGCCGCGGGGAGGTTTTGTCTGCCGTCGGTGCTCTGAGAGCCGGTAGCGGCCGCTGTGAGGCCCATTTTCCGTTCCTCGGAGCGCAGCGGGGACAGACCCCGGTCCCCGTGCTCCCGCAGGTCCCGGCACGACGGGGAGGGGCTGACTGCAAACGCAGTGACGGGGAGTTGGAGGTGCCTGGCTGGAAGCCCCTGGGGCCTGTGAGGGGCCCGGCAGAGGCTCGGGAGAGCTGCCGAGTGCGGCGGAGGAGGACGGAGGACGGAGGGCCTAAGGGACGGGCGTGTCGTGTAGCTTAACCGGCGGCCCTTCGGGAGCCTGAGCGGGCGGGAGGGGTGGCGGCCGGCCCTGAAGCGTCCTGCAGCCCTGCTGGGGTGCGTGGGCTCTGCACCCCACTTGGAGCGCGTCCACCAACCCTGGCTGCCCGGCTGGTGTTCGAGTCGCTGTCAGGGCAGCCTGGAGCCCCTGGAGGGCGTGACAGCGGCGGTGACAGGCCCCATCTGGAGAGCTTGAGCAGCAGACGCGAGGACCTGAACGGAGGCGACGCCTGCGGAGGGACGCAGGGACCTGCACGGTGTCAGTGGTGGCGTCCACCGGGCCCCCTGGTGATGCGGAGAGCCGAGGGAGGCTGAGAGGAGACGCGGCGGGTGGAGAGGCCTCCCTGCGGGGGGACTGAGAGCAGCCGCGCGGGGAAGATGCCGACGCTCAGCTACTTGAGAGCCAGGGAGACGCTCAACAGCCGGCCTCGGGGATGGCGGCGGTGAGGGCGGCCGCGGGCCGGGGGCAGCGGGCAGGCGCGTCGGGGACTCTGCTGC